GGTAGCAGCAGCAGGTCCGCCAGGGTCAGGCTGAGCAGGAGGATGTGGATGGGCGCCGGCTGGGACTGGCGGACTCGCCCCACGAAAGCTCGCAGGGCCAGGAGGTTGGCAGGGAGACCAATGAGAAAAGATATGATGTAGATGAAGAGAATTCCCACGCTTCGGGGATGAAGGGCCATCCTTCCTGAAAGGATAAAACATGGAGTCAGAATCCTCTGACTGGGGATTTTTTTTTTTTTTTTTTGGAGAGGTTTTTGCTATAGGATGCGTGGGCTCGCCAGAAAGAGACCAAGAGATGGAAAGTGAGAAATCACCCCCCAGGGGGTATGGCCATGCCTCAATCCCTTCTCCTCCATTCTCCTCTCGGGATCTTGGGCACGCATGCACACACACCCGGCGTGAGTTCAAGCCACTGAGTCTGGGACATGAACTGCGGTTGGCTACATGGGAGTCCAGCTAACTGCTGGTCCCTCTAACTGTGGATTTTTTTCAGGCCCAAACCAAGGTGAATCCATTCCTAGTCTCACTGCAGCATCTTGCTCTGCATTGTCAGGTGAGTTTCAGTAACTCTCTAAACTGAGCAGTGCTCTGCTTCCCGGGTGTAAAGGAGAAAGAAGGCTTCCCCACCAACTCACTTCCTCAGCACCCTCTCCGTCTTCGTTTCTACCCTACCAAAGAAGAAGGAAAACATCAGCCCCCTAAGAATGTCTGTGTTTCAGAGACTCCCACAGGAACAATTCTGAGGTGTCCAAGTCCCACTAGGACGTGCACTCCGTGAGGACAGTGACATCATCTGTCTTGTTCCCCATTGTGTCCCTCGTACCTAGACTCATGCCCGACACACAGTCGGTGCTTAACAAATATCTGTTGATAAATGAGTGGACACATGAGCGGATGGGAAGGAAGAAGCTGCTTCTTCACTAAGAGGAAGTAGGCCTGAGACTGCCCCTGAGTTTCTACTAATTCTGCTCAAGCCTGACCGACTTTTTACTCACCTTCTCTTGGCCTCTTTTCTTTTTCTCTCCTTTCCCTAAGTCACTGGGTGTGAACACAAGCTATTCACTTCTTCACTTCTGAAGACGGGAGTTGGGCTAAGGCTGAGAGAAAAGCAGATTAAACCCCAGGTGAGGGACCAGCAGTTAGCGTAGGCTATGTCGCTGGATTCCCACGTAGTCGACCATGGTTCACGTCCCGGACCCGGTGGCTTAAAACTCACGCTGGGCGCATGTGCGTGCATGCCCAAGATCCCGAGAGGAGAATGGAGGAGAAGGGATTGCGGCGTGACCATCCCCCCTGGGGGGTGATTTCTCGCTTTCTGTCTCTCTGTCTCTCTCTGGCTGTCTGGCGAGCACATGCGCCCTATAGCGAAAACCTCTCAAAAAAAAAAAAAAAAAAAAAGACAACCAGGTGAGTCCCAGGTGCCCAGCCTCTCTATTCTATGTTGAGCCTTTCAAAGAAAACCTGTAGGTTTGAGTGGGATAACAGAAGGGACCCGAGCTGGGCTGGGCCATCGGAATTCCCATCCCTGCCATGCCTCACATCAGTTGTGTGACTGGAGAAATCACTCTCCGAACACCATCTTAATTCTCTTTGCTCCACCTGTGACTAATAATTCTGCCAGAACTGCCCTAATTCCCAGCATGGCAGCTGCAAATGCACCCTCTATCCCCCAGCACAGAACAAATATGTGTGGGCTTTATGTAAATGAAGAGTAACCTTAACTCTCCTCTAATTTATCATTAAAAAGTAGACATTTAAAATAAAACTACAAGGGACCAGCAGTTAGCATAATGGCTATGTCTCTGAACTCCCATGTAGTTGACCGGTTCGAGTCCTGGACCCGGTGGCTTAAAACTCATGCCAGGCGCGTGTGCGTGCGTGCCCAAGATCCCGAGAAGAGAATGGAGGAGAAGGGATTGCGGCGTGGCCATTTCCCCCGGGGGTGTGATTTCTTGCTTTCTGTCTCTCTGTTTTTCTGGCGAGTGCACATCCCATATAGCAAAAACCTCTCAAAAAAAAAAAAAAAACTACAATATTTTTCTGGTAATATATTATTATTATTATTATTTTGGAGAGGTTTTTGCTATAGGGCGCGTGCGCTCGCCAGCCAGACAGAGAGAGACATAGAGACAGAAAGCGAGAAATCACCCCCCAGAGGGGATGGTCACGCCGCAATCCCTTCTCCTTCTCCTCCATTCTCCTCTCGGGATCTTGGGCACGCATGCACACGCGCCCGGTGTGAGTTTTAAGTCACCGCGTCCAGGACGCGAACTGCGGTTGACTACGTGGGAGTCCAGCGACATAGCCATTACGCTAACTGCTGGTTCCCCTGGTAATATATTATTGCCCATCTATTGGGTGGTCGAGAAAGTTGTGAAGTATTTTTTCTATGCAAAAATGTGTCTTGACTGTTCCAGCAACTCATTAAGTATCTCATTCTGCATTTGAGAATCTTGGAAGTAGAAGGCAGATCGACAGGGAGATTCCCAGGCTCCTGGGGCTGAGATCTTCCCGCTCTCCCCTCCCACTGACTCTTGCCAGCACCCTCTCCACTGACTTGCCTTAGCCCTTTTCCAGTTTTATCATCTCTTTTCTTCCCTCCTTGCAGAGTAAACCCCATACTCTGCTCCTTTCTAAGTTTGTCTCATGCATTCCTTTATCCCATCCCAATAACCTTTTTCCTGAGCACAAGCGAAGGTGGGTCCTTTGCTTTTTCCTGGAGGCAGCGGGATGGCTTTTCCAATATGTGAGGTCTCAGAAACCGGTGGAACCTTTCTGTAACTGGACCGCTTTTTCTCTTCCCATGACTTTTATACCTGCAAGAGTCATGTGGTCAAAAAGAGGAAGGTTGATAGTTGAGCTCTTTCCAAGCCAGCTTGATCCAAATTCTGTCCCCAACAAACTTATTTCTCCCATAATCCAAATTCCATCTGTTCTTTTGGGCCTCTTCCTCCTGCCTCCCAAGAGGCAGCGTTGTCTCCTTTCCAGGGGCAGTTATTCCAGCCACTTTGCACTTGTATCCCCTTCTTGTTCCCTCTGCTCTTTCTTCACCTGACCCTCCCCAACTTTTTTCTCAAGGCCCCTGACCTGGTCAGTTTCCTATTCTCTTTCCTGGAGGCTCCGGAGGAAACTGATTAGTGTCTTCAGCATTGCTTGACTTCCCCCGGCCCACTAGGTCACTTCTTACGGACGTTCTTAGCACAGACTCAGACCATCTTGAGTCCAGGTTGCTGCCAAGAGACCTGGGTTCTGGTCTTCCTCTCTGCTCACTCTCTGCCTGGGCTACCCTCTCATTTCACTGTTTCCTTGCCGCCTGTATAG